AAGCACAGACCCTGAACCTATCAGTTCTGGCTAACCATACAGACACCTGAACCTATCAGGTTGGTACTGACTGACACACAGTAGTACCCTGTCTGACACACAGACTCCCACTCAAGCTTCTTCTCTCAGCTCTTCTCCAGCTTCTCCCAAACTTCTCCACACAGGATCCCCATATATATACAATACAGCCCCTCCTCCTGATGTCCCGCCTTCCACTCCCCATAGGATGGAACTTTCCCTCCAAACCCATGACAGACAGTTACCTTTACCTAATACATTGCTATGGGCTTTTTTATTTCGCATAGCGACGAATCCACACAGCGACGATTTTTCCGGAACAGATTATCGTCGCTATGTGGGGCACCACTGTACCTCTCACCCTGATATTCAAATTCTGACCCAGCTGAACTTTCCAGGCTTTCCTTAAAGACATATGGAGGAAAAGCTACACAAAGTCTCCTGGAGAAGAAGAAATCTGTACCAGTTTAATTTTGCTGAGTAAGATCTTCTGTTACAACCATAAGATGCTTACATACAAGAACAGACCTGCTGATCCTTGCAGTTCTATTTTGCTATATTCATAAACTGAGAAGGTGTGGACAAGCTTTGTTGATCAGAAGTCAATTTCTTACTCCCTAGTCTTGCAACAAACTGAAACAGCCCTTCTGAAAAAATGAACTGGAGTGACCAGAATTCCCCTTCTAGTTTTACAAAAAAAGCTTTACAAGAGATGCACGGCAAGTATCGTACGTTTTTAGCTCCTTGGGGTATATCAAGCTATGACTAAAAGACCTATTTTCTATGTGTTTGGTGGGTACATAGGAGAGGGCCTTCTCTGTTTCTGCTCCCAGAGTCTGAAACTCCCTCCCAGAGGAGGCCAGGCTGGCTCCATCTTTATTGTCCTTCTGCAAGCAGACAAAGACCTTTCTCTTTAGGCAAGCTTTTCCTTAGTGGCTGCCTTAGCAAGGTTTCTAAATGGATTGTTGTACCTTACTGCTCTGAATGCGTTTCAGTGTTGCTTACATTTTTTTAGTAGAGCTTACCTTTTTTAGTATTTGTATACTCAGTGTTATTAGCTTTAAATATTATCTTTTAATGATGTAAGCCACCTTGGATTCTTTTCAAGGAGAAAGATAGGCTAACAATATTTTAAGTAACAAATAAAATAAAACAGTAACTTTTTTTAAAAATGAAGGAATTGGCTTATGGCCCATTGTGCTCCTTTCTGCACAGGTATTAGCAGAGTATTCTATGCAATGATGTTTTAGTTTGATTTAGTTTAAACAAGCAATATTCTTCTAATCTTTAACCTGAACAGTAATCTGTTAAAACTCAGGATCTTCTTTTTGACACTGACCTTCTATTCACATCAGTCAACAGACCACTTGCTTAGATGCTATCATATGGTCCAGTGATGAACCATTAAAAAAAATCTTGTCAACAATGTTCACATACTTTGCTTTTCACAAGTCCTGTGGATGCCTCAAGAAGTCTCAATACCTATATAACAAGTTAGATGTTCTGAACTTGTGAGAATCTACTAGTGTTCATATAAAGATAAATATAATATACAAACAGTTGCTTTAAGTTGTTTTATTTTCAGTAGCCTCCATGGCTTCCTCTTTACTTAGGATTGCAAACGGAAATCTGTGTACCATCATCAGAGTAATCAAAATTAAATATTGCAACAACATGGAAGTATAGTAGTTTTATTTATCTAAAGTGTCAGCTTATTTTTTAAAATTGCTACTTTAGTCTTTGCTAGAATAAAGCATTATGCCTCTATGTAACATGATTACAATTCCCAATGAATCTGTCTTAAATTTACCTATATAATTACATTTTGAAAAATATACTTGGTGGCTTCCAAATTTTTGTCTTTAACTTGTGATCTTTATGTTTACACTAGTTATTGATTAATGATTTTACTGCTACCAATTTAGGATTTAAAACTTCATATTTATAATTTAAATGTGTAATTCTGTTTTATGCTTTAAAATGTCTCCATCTTTCTTTAAAATAATTCAGTGTTTTTACAACATATAAAAGTAAAGGTAAAGGTAAAGGTTCCCCTTGACAATTTTTGTCCAGTCGTGTCCGACTCTAGGGGGCGGCGCTCATCCCGCTCTTCAAGCCATAGAGCCAGCGTTTGTCCGAAGACAATCTTTCCGTGGTCACATGGCCAGTGTGATTTAGACACGGAACGCTGTTTACCTTCCCACCGAGATGGTACCTATTTATCTACTCGCATTTGCATGCTTTCGAACCACTAGGTTGGCGAGAGCTGGGACAAGCAATGGGCGCTCACTCCGTCGCGTGGATTCGATCTTACGACTGCTTGGTCTTCTGACCCTGCAGCACAGGCTTCTGCGGTTTAGCCCACAGCGCCACCACGTCCCCTTTTTTTTGTGTTTATATGTTTACAACATATAAACACAACCAAATTTCAATTTTAAAAAGAGCTTAAGAGATAAAAGATAAAAATATTCACTAAAAGCATGCATTCATAAAATGCACCAGGAAAAAATCTGAAAAAAATCAACAGAATTAACATTCAGTCTAAAAAACAGGTTAAATTGATCACCTATCAAAGGTCTTTCTAAAAGGAAGGGTGATGGAGAGACAGTGAGACAACTATTCACTCTAATATGAAAGTGCCTGTCTCCTTAGGCTATTAGCCTTCTGTGCTCTGTCTCTCCTGGACAGTCAGAAGAGACAGAGCACAAAAGGCTAATAGCCTAGGGATACAGGCAGTTTCATATTAGAGAGGGTGGCTATTGAAACAACTAGGTCCCAAACTACAAACAGCTCTTTAGGTTACTTTCTGGCCCCCCTTATACATCCACTTATTCTATTCTGTCTGTCTGTTTGCCCCCCCACACACACACCTTGTTTAATGGAGAAGATGCATTAACTGGTCTTGATTTGTAGGAGATCAGTTTCTTATTTGGTGTTCCTAATCAACATTGTTTATATTTGTGTTTGTATTGAGGTATGCATTTTATTTATTTTAAATAATATTCATTAACATTTCCCAGTCTTGCAGCTGATTCCAAATAATGATAGTTTTAGAAGAGGTAGCCATGGTAGTCTCTGCAAGCATATCTAGCAAAATCCAAAGAAACAAAACAAAACAAAAAGATAAAAACATGTGGCACCTTAAAGACTAACTATATCATTTTAATGTGGGCTTTAGTGGATAAGTCCACTTTGTCAGATATATGGAAACAGAATGAAATAATGGATAAAATCTGTTTCACAAGTAGAACATTCTAAATATTCATTGGCTGTAGGCATCTTGGGTGTGTTGTACATCTCACACACAGTAATGTATGCCCTATGTTTGGTTTAGGGTTCTGCTGTAAACATTCTTCCAGGAGACAGAGAACAGACACTAGGCCTGAGGGGGGGAGAGAGAAGAAGAGGTTGAAGATTGAAGAGTCAGTTAAAAACTCTCAAGTGGGGGGAAGAATATATGTAAGTAAACATAAAAGTGAAAGAAGACAGCAGAGGAACCACATGTGTTAATGTAGCGAATATTGACAGCTTTTACCTTTGATCGTTGTGATGAGAGACGAGCTTGGTAGTTGTGAAGAAAATAACAGTGGCAGTAGATAATTGCAGAAGTATAAAATTTGGTAATTATAGTAGTTTATGAGTTTATGAGTAGTTTTTGTACAACAGGCTTCTGGGTCTTTGAGCTTTGAACCTAACTGTTATGTTTTAAAATTTTTATTTATTTATTTAAATATTTTTTTATCCTGCCTTTTTCCTTAAAAAGGCTTTTGAGTCTTTTATTTATTTATTTAAATATTTTTTAATCCTGCCTTTTTCCTTAAAAAGAATCCAAGGTGGTTTACAACATTAAAAACAACAACATTTAAAGCTAAAAACAGTAAGTATACAAATACTTAAACAAATGGCACACTAAAAGATAGTAAACATCAAAATGTTTTCATTCAAAGCAATACAGCACAACAATCCATTAAAAAAACCCAGTCAGTCATTAAAAGAAATTTTGCCTGAAGAGAAAGGTTGCTAATTTTTTTTAAGAAGGCTGTTATAATTCTGTAGTTAAATTATTTCCAATGTTGTCTCAAGATCAGATCTTAGGTCTGCTACTAGTGTTTTGTTATTCATGGATATTCTTTCTAAATTAGTTGTCATTCTTATTTGGATGTATTTTCAGTAGGAGAAATGGCTAAAAAGATCATACTGATCTCTTTCAAATGTAATGTACAACAGGGAAATATATGCATACACAGAGTTCTACAGTATTTTGTGAGTGCAAAACACATGTGCATGTACTGTACTGCAACCCAAGCCTGTTTCCAATACAGTGGCTGCATCAAATGGGATTTTCAAACAGAAATCCAGAAGATGAATGTAACTTACTTGGCAGGGGTTCCTTCAAAAGCTTTGTCTGCTGCCTCACCCAGCACTTCGGCTTTCAGGTAGTAGAGCATGCGCACCCGCAAGAGTACCCTGCCAAAAGGAAAAATGATAGGTGATCCAGAAATCAGATCTGAGCTCTCAATAGCCTGTTCAGCTTCCCTAGGAAAATCTGCAGGTCCACAGAATGTATTAGTTTCTTCTCTGGCAGTGAGAACTGCTATTATGGTCTTCTGAAACTGGCAATGGAAGGACCAAGAACCACTTCTAGATGGGAGACCATGAGGATGTATATTGATGAATCAACAGCAGTAATTAAGTGATCCCCTCAACTGCTGTGCCATGAATTGATCAGCACACTGAGTCAATGAGTTACCAAGCTACTGAAGAAGTATTGAATAACAAATTGACATACAAATTTGACCCATGCCAACAATTAACATCATTGTCATGCACAACAAGATAAAGAAAATGCACATACGACAAGGAGATTGTAAATGAGGAAATAATTCATGCATGTGGGAGGTAAAGGAATGAATGAATGCTTTATTGTTGTTTTGACCACTTTGATAATTCAATTTCCACAAATTTATAACATAAGTACAAATAATAATATATATACAAGCATGGTGCCAGCTTAACAAACACAATGCTTGTAGGGCGTAAAGGAACAGAAGCTCACAACTGTATGTCTTCTGTATATTTGAAAGATTGTTAAAATCTGCAAAGGCCAAACTCTCACTCACAAAACTATGAAACCCTTGCAGAAACCCACAAGGCTTTCATTAGATCTGTTGCATATAAGTCAATGGCATGAATTTCTCTCTTTTGACTTCCAAAGGAATAGAGAAGGCAGCCCCCAATTGCTCACTTATTGCAATGCTGTTTAAGATGCTTTTTGTAGCTGTCATCATGTAGGACGATTTCAGGATTGCAGCTGGTGAGCCAATCTGCATTCTTGATTTCAGGGAGCAACATCTGGTTCTTAGTCTTCTTCCCTTTCCTCCCTCTTGGCACTGGGGCCGATAAGCCTGCAACAGGCAAGGTGCAGCACATGAACAACACTGCACATTCAGGATGATTCTACATATTTCCAAACCCAAACAGAAAAGGCAGTATAGAAGTTCAAGGGGCAATCAGAACATGGAAGGGACACACCATTCTCACTGCCAATGATGTACATTAATATATCAAACAGAATCTGAGATGAATAAATATGCCAGCATCACCCACATTAGGTTATTCTGAAGGCAGAATGGTAGGTAACAAGGTAGGCTTCCAAAGGCTTTTGAAATCCCTTTTCACACAACGAAACATTTCCTATATTTACTCCAAACTGTTGCTGATCCAATTCAATGTAAACTGGCAGAAATTTCTACAGATATGTAAACAGGGTGAGGAATATTTGGGATAAGGTTGGCTCAGGAACACTGCATTGTCATGAGATACTGCTGAGCCCAGTTCAAGTCTCTGGTTTATAAGTAAAAACAAGTGCCCTCTATTGGGTCTAGAAATCAAATGGTGGTTGTTATGTGTTCTTACTCCAATCTTTGGTAACCCTATGAATTACTGACCTGCAAGAAGTCCTATAATCAACATTTTTATCATTACATTTTAATGTAATCTATCAATGGACCCAGGTACCAAATTAAAGAGCTCCATTACCTCCTTAGCATCACCTGTCTCTAAGGAGACAAGGCTAGGTGATATCAGCATATGGAAAACACCCAACCCTAATACTTCACATGACCTTTCCTATCAATTTGACATAAATATTGAATACTATGAGGGTGGGACATCAAGGGCTCCCAAAAGTCAATAGTTTCACCAAGTGTGAGTTGCTGTCACTGGCTCCAGCACCCTACTCAAAGTAATATGTTAGAGACTGGCCAAAGTCAATAGAATCCAAAAGGTAATTCCCTCCTGTTAATGGAGGGATTATGAAGTTCAAAATTGAATTCTCCCTCTTTTATTGGATCAGTATAATTTTCTGTCCTTTAAAACAGGCATAGGGAAATAAAATATAGTGAGGACACTCTACCACAAGTTCTCTGCAGGCTGAGTAACATCAAAGGGCTTAGCTACGCTCCCTGATATCATTGGTTTTGCTTATGTGGATATCCTTTGTTGAGAGAAGCATGCATTTACTGCAGAAGCACTCCTGCAGTCAGCTCTTAGGAAAGGCGGCAGCTTTGCCTGTTCATTTTTTTTCCCTTTGGGGAAGGTGCAAAGATTCTATATCCCTCCCATGGCCCAAGTGGTGCCTGAAAGAGCACTGATACAGCCAGCACTGTATCTGTGCTGCCAGATCACTTCTCCTGGTCCTTTACTACATGACAGCAATACACTTTCAGCCAGTCTCCCAGCACTACCAACCTGGAGGCTGCTTGACCACTTGCATTATTTCCTTTTTCATAAAGGAAGGGAGAACATGTCTGCCGTCAGATGGCACTCTCAGGAACTCCTGCTGAGATGCCACCAGCTTGCACCTCTTGATCATTTCTGTGCAGGTACACAACAGCGGAGACCTTAATAAGGGGCTTCAGGGAGAGGGAACAGTCCCTCAGAGATGGGTCAGTGGGGTAAGAGACTCCAGCCGTCCACATTCTGACCACCCACAGGTCATATTAGGCCTATCCCTACCTGCCTTAAAAAGAAATGTAACTCATGTTCAGTCAAATGCATTTAAAGTCTTTTCTCACTATTGCTCTAACCATCTTCTCTGTTCTTGCACTGTTACAAGCATCTCAGAAAATAAAGGAGGCAAGCACTATCAATTAAGAAAAGGTGGCTAAGAATAATTGTATTAATCTGATTCCACACTCCACCCCAAGTCTATCATCACTACATTAACTCTGTTGGCAAGGGGTAAAAAACCCTAGAGAATTCAGGAATCCACAAACATGCATCAGTTTCCAATGGGTGAACTCTGTGAAATTAGGAGCCTTCATATAGCAGAAAGTCCATGACAACAGGTTTCTTTCAATTCCCAGTCTCATTATACTCTTTCCTGCCTTCAAAATGGAAAAGGCATCTTAAAGTTGTTTTGGAGGCACAAAATCCCTGTGCTACATTTCAAATATGAGGGCCTCTGCATGAACAACGATATCTCCTAGCACTACCAACCTAGAAGAATCTCACCACACATTCCACTCCAAGTCTATTTCTGCCAGTACAGGCAGGAATCGTAGAACATCTCTGAGTCCTGCATTTTGGATAACAATTGGTTCACACATGGGATTTTATTATAGCACCATGTCTGTCTAGCAACAGAAGTATGCGACCAAAGTTTGATTCAAATGTTACTTCAGCAGTTTGTGATTTAAAACTGCTGTTTAGAGAAGCTAATTAAAACACAACATGAGTCTTTGGTACCTGAGTGATTCTGCAGGGCCTGGTTCTGTCCATCCTTTGTTGGAGTGATTAAATCCCAAATAAAACTCTTAATCTTCTCATCCCCCTTATAATGTCTTACACAGTAGACCAAGAGTGCTCGGCAGATCATTTCCATGTCTTTCTCATTGAGATGCCATTTAAAACGACCATGGGTCAGTATATCCTTCCAACGCCCCCAGCTGGAGAAAAAGAGTATTACATACAAAAATGTTTGGCATTTATTCTGCATTATGAACTGTGCTCTTTATCATGGGGTTTTCAATGAAATTTGGCAGAAACCAAGAAAAGAAAAATCACTTAATTAAAAAAAAGGCATGAAAATGAATAGGACACTAGTGAAAGAGGTAGCTAAAGAGCCAAAGTAACCCTTTTGCCATGGAAGTAACTATTCCACTGATGAATTTCTCTTTGCAGTCACAGAATACATGGCTAAATGTAGGGAAGATTGCATTTTTATAGCAAATGCTAGCGCTCCAAAGAATGCTAGGCATCTTCTAGCAAATAGCTAAACCTAAAGAAACGGCAATAAGAGACTATGGTCTTGAGTTTCCAAAGTCTTCATAAGAGACATACCCAAATATAAGCAGGTTCTTCTCCACACGGAAACACTCTGCCCGTAAGTAGCGCCGGGTTTTTTCATTGAGACGCCGTGAGCGTGTGGGACGCTCATCAGAGTCACTGTCTAGCTCAGAGAACTCCATAAGCTCATCTTCTTCAAAGGAATTGTAGTGTTTGGTCTGCTTACGGACACGGGGCCTGTCAATCACAAGGCTCTCCTGGAGATTCAAAAAAGAATAAGCAAAGATAAATCTTTATATATGCAGCTGAAAATGTCTAGGAAGGTTAGGCCATTTATTCCTTTTTTCATACTTAGAGAATTTGAATTAAACTGATTCAATTAATCCATAATCAGTGGGGGGGCATTGTGACATCCTTCTATCTGCCGCAAGGAGCAGATTTGTGACAATTACTGGACATTCAATTCTCACTTAGTACACACACTGTATTTAGCCATTTTAGTCAAAATTAACCTTTTGCATTATTTTGCAGTGGATATCACATGCTTTGTTTTTCTTCTTGATCATTCATTTTGTATTTTGATTTTATGTGAAAGGTGATTTCTGAATTGAAACATGCTATGCAGTTATTATTAATTCAGTCCTATTAAAATTAAATATAATTACTTAGTAACTGGCTGTGGGGTTTTAAGTTTAACTTGATTTTGGAACATCTATCACTTTCCGTTTTTGCTTTTCAGAGTTAGTCCTTAAAGAAGGAAATTGCTAACCATACTAAAATTGATTGTAGAAACACAAATATCAACCTAAAATTTACATGCACACAAGGGTTTTCACAAGAAAAGGCTGTCCTTGAGAATGAAACAACTGCAAATTTGAACACTGAAATGGAAAATCTATGTATATTTCAGAAGTAAATACTAATGCACTTTCCTTTAAAAAAATACACCCACAGCTGGAATAACTATGATCTGTTAAATATACTAAAACAATTGTCCACATATAAAAATGGCGATTGTGTCCCTACCCACTGTTTCCTGTCTGCCACAGTGATGTATGATTCTCTCCGCCCACATTTATAGCTATATATGTGAATCACATTCCTGTGGCAGCAAAACAAGACAAACTCTTTGTGATCAGTTGCTTAGCAATTTCCCCTGCACTCCTATCTAAGTTCCCTTCTGTTGCTGCCCGAGCTGGAGTTTTAGAAGGAGGAACCCCAGGGTATATGTTGAGGCAGACATTACAGACAACGGCTGCTGTCAGAGGAAGCTAGAGCACTGCTAACCAGTTGTCTGACTGCACAAGTGAACAAGGTCACCGGGTTTTGGAAGAGGAGACCACATATATCTTCTTTTTCTCCCAGGTACATAAACCATTTGGTTCTTCTCCCACCCTACCAAATATGCAGCACCCACATTCTTTGTTTTTGTAGCTAGAAACACTGTCTGCAGTGAACAAAACAGCCAATACTGCAGACAGCTGCTGTTGATGGCAAAGAGAATCTCACCTATTTGGGCTTGAAGGGGGGGAGGCAGCAGGAGAGAATATTTTGCTTTTAATGCCAGCAACTGCTTCCTATGTGAGCATAGAAATAAAAAGGAGGAAAACGTCATCTTCCTGGAGGACCAAACAATCTTGCCTCTGGCAGAGCACAGACTGTGAGGGCGTGAATAAATTTGGTTGATGAAACTCATGCCAGTATCAGAGAACAACCTAAGGCTACTAGACTGCCAAAATCCAAAGCGCAAACGCTGCCCGCATTTTGCCCTAGTTCTCTACAAAGAGACGGGCTCCTTTCCATCTCATTTTTGTGTAAAAGCCACTGCTGTTGACTTGAGATTGAAAACACAAATGGTGAATATTAAAAATACATGGATTAATGTATTAATAGTTAATTCATCAGAGCTATTTGTATACTGTAGCTTAAACAGAAGATGTAAGAGGTATTATTTCTTTCTTAACTAGTGAATGTCTGCTACGCAGAAAATGTAACAAAATGTAAGAGAACCATAATTTTGCAGCAATAGTGAGGTTTCTTTCTGATGCTGCTGTTTGCATTAACCGGTGCCAGAGTTTCAGTTTAAAATGAACA